TTGATGCATGAAAGAACGTGGATAATGGCCTCCAAGCCAAAATGCCACCTTTCTCCCACGTTCTTTCCCAGCCTCTTGACATTTCCCTCCTCTTTGCCAGGCACCCAGGGCAGCGCCCATTGGCACTTGTTATTTATGACTCATAGTTGGCAGTCGAGTCCCATATTGCTGCCCATTCATTGGAGGACATTCCTTCCAAATGATCTGATTGCAGGCCCCCTTGTCCCTTCCGTTTCATAGATCCCTTCCTCTTCCGGGCATCTTATTTGCAAAGTGGCTTCTGTGGGCTTAGAGCAGGGGTCTCCAAACTTGACAACCTTAAGACTTGTGGGCTTCTACTCCCAGAATTCCTCAGTCAACTTTTAAGACTTGTGGACTTCTACTTCTAGAATTCCTCAGCCAGCTATGCTCGCTGGCTGAGGGATTCTGGGAGTAGAACTCCACAAGTCTTAAAGTTGCCATGTTTGGAGACCCCTGGTTTAGAGGACAAAGCCAGAATTACCACATTTGTGAGAAAAGCCACTCCAATTCCTTATCAAGGCATGTTCGGCAGCCACCCCAACACCATGTGCTATTAATTCTCCATTTGCCTTTATAGCTTTGATTCTCCCACCCCATCATTGTTAGTTTTTGATCCTCGTTTGTGTCTTGTTGCTTAATTGCTTTGCTTTGAGAAGGCTTATGCCCCAAGGGGCATGATGGGGTTGATTGTCCCAGTCTTACTTGATAACCAAGAACAAGGCGATGTCAGACCAGAACAAAAACATTTCAGTGAGCAGCATAAACAAAAGAGGTCAAGCAGTAGCTGAGCTGACAAAGGAATTCCCCGTGAAAGTAATAATTAAAGTGTACTTGAAAACTTCAAATGGGAACAAGGGACAATGCTAAACTGCTTTATATCCAGCCAGTAATAATTTGCAATATTAATGCTTCCCACACTGTTAAGTAGCTATTCCAATATGCTTTTATACATTTCATTTTAGGACTCAGTTTCTTCAAACAGATACATGTTTAGAGCCAATACCTGCCCATAAAGCTTTCTCTACCCATGTTTCCCCGAAAATAAGACCAGGTTTTATTTTCTTTTGGGTCCCAAAATAAACACCAGGGCTTATTTTTGGTGGGTGTCTTATTTTTTTCCCATGTACGGGAGTCTCACTTCTTCGGCTTGCTCACAGCAAGGCAGGAGGCTGTGGGGCATGAAGTGAAGCTTCCCTACGCAAGAGGGATGAAGCTGCCCCATGTGCCACGCGCTGTCTTACCTCAGTGTCCCTGCAGCCAGGCCATCCATGCCCCGACACCTGCCTCACCTCATGGCGGCAGCTCCAACAGTTCCATCCATCAGGACCCCATGTGGTTTCCGGCCCACTTATTCTGCTTGTTTGTGGCCACAATGAGCAGAAGGCTGAGCGAGGCACAGCCATGAAACAGTTGTCAGGGTGTGGATGGCCTGGCTGCAGGGGCCCTCAGGTACTCCGGTGCAGGGCATGTGGAACAGCTCCACCATCTCACCACCTACCTCACGAGGCTGTTGTTGTGAGGAAAATAGGAGGAGGAAGGTGCTGTGGATATGTTTGCTACCTTGTGTTATTTGTAAAAATATTGAAGGCAAGATACAAATGAATACAATAATAATAAGTAAAAGATGTTGCAGTCTTTTAAACAGTTTAAAAGACTGCAACATCTTTTACTTATTATATTCATTTGTATCTTGCCTTCAATAAGCCCAAATCCATCTTGACCACGGAGCTGACTATATGGAAGACGGTTTCTTAATCTAATTTACCTCCCATGTTGAGGTGTTGTGCTCCGTATCCCATGCTTTTGTAACAGCAGAGCAACCAAGCCAGCTGTGCCGGCTCTTAAGTAGGGCTTATTTTGTGGGTGGGTAGGGCTTGTATTAGGTGCACACATAAAAACATGCTAGGGCTTATTTTCGTGATAGGTCTTATTTTTGGGGAAACGGTATCTAGCTGAACTTGGTTGATCTCAGAAAACTAATTAGGATTGGGCTTGCATAGAAGATTACCTGGAATCCCAGACCTTGTGGATTAGAAAATGAAAAGGAAGAAGACAACGCAAATCATTTCTCTTGTCTTGTTGCCAAGATAACAATTTGGTTATTTCAATGTTGTTAACAAGTTAAATTTGACTTCAAGGATTATTTCCCTTTCCCTTTATATTCTCAGTATTATTTTTTTATTAAGAGTTTGAAAAAGATTAAAGTGAACAAGAACTAACACAAAGTAATAAACCAAAGAAGAGTAAAAAAAACTTTTTTTAAGACAAGACAACGAGAAAAAGTACAAAAAAGAATGGAGAAAAAAATAGAAAGTAGTGACTTTCAATTTTCTTTGTAACAGATAGAAGTACAATTACAAAATTACCACATGGTAACAAAAAAAAAGCTTTACTTTTTTCTATCATCTGTTTTTCTCCACTCATCAAAGTCATAAATTATAAGAGCAGCAATAAACGTAGCTTTGTATTTTCTCTTAACAAAGAAAGTCGGTTTTGCCATCTCTGTAAATTCCATCATCTTCACCAACCATGCCTCCATGGAAAGTAGTACCGAGTCTTTCTGTTTGAGTATATAATAATTTTGCTGCAGTTACCATATATACAAAAAAGACCCATGACTTTCCCCCAATATCTGTTCATCAATCTCTCAACCCTCCCCTCAACCCCCCGCAAAAAAAAAAAAAAAACCCTCTGGTTTCAATTGAATATTTGTCTTTAAGATTTTCTAGTTCATGTATTTCCAAAACTTTCTGGCTTTTTTTTTTTATACACTCACCAAACATAATAAAATGATCCTTCCTGTTGTTCACACTGTTCCTTTTTATTCCCAAAGCAGTCTTTAGGAGAGTTATTCAGTCTTTAACTTGCTTTTCTCTTAAGACAGGGGTGTCAAACGTGATTCAATTGAGGGCCGTGTTAAGGTTGTGTTTGATCTTGTGGGCTGAGGTGGGCGTGACCAGGATAGGCGTGGCCAACTTGATGTCACTCATATCAAGGGCGACTGTGGTGACCCGAGTGCTCGGCTAGCAAAAATAGGCTCCTGATCTTCGTTTTCGGCTGCAACGGCCTCCTGCAGCCCTCTGTCAGTGAAAACGGAGCTCTGTTTTCACTGGAAGAGGGCTTCGGGAGACAGGGCCTAGGAGGGCCTGCGCAGCCCTCCCGAGTTTCGTTTTCGCTGGCAGAGGCACCGTGGGACGGTCCTTTGCTATTTCCAGGGCGGCACCGCGGGCCAGATCTAAGCACTCCATGGGCTGGATCCTGCCCCCGGGCCTTGAGTTTGACACCCCTGTCTTAAAACATTCATAGTAATATATTCTATTTGTAATGGAGAAAAAGAGAAACATAGGGGAACTACCAATCTTACATCTTCATTCCACCTCAGCTTTTCCAACCAGGTACCCTTTAACTGCTTCAGATGTCAACTCCTATAATTCTCAGCGAGCATGGCTAAAAGTGAG